TCTGCTGCATGCGGGCAGACTCCGCTTCCCAGGGAGTGGACAGGATGGCCTCGGGCATGTCTCTGCTGCATGCGGGCAGACTCCGCTTCCCAGGGGTGTTTTCTGGGACTTAGGCACTTCCTGTGTGTCCCTGAGCCCTCCAGGACTCATGGATGATGGCTAGGAAGACGTTTTTGGAAATTTCAGCTGCCTCCTGTATTCGCAGGGGCGGCGATGGCCAGCTGGGAGTGGATGCCTCGGGGAACTGGGGACACTGGCTGGCCGGCCGGCTGGCCTTCCCCTGAGGGACAGCCAGGCCTGCTCTTCCCAGAGCCCCCTCTGGGTAGAGCTTCCTGCCACCGAGGGGCACTCGGGGCCATGCAAGCTTGGGACCGGAGATGCCAGCTGTGCAGTCCCAGATCCACCCGGAGCTCTGGGCAGGTGACTGAACTGTAGCAAAAACTCAAGTGTTTGCATCCAGCAAATGAGCGCAGACGCAAGGGCTTCCCCTGGGGCTGTTGCCTGGTTGGTGGGTAATGAGCCTTTGTCTCCTCAGAGAGCCGCTGCACCTCCCCTCCCTGGGAACATCTGATGGGCCCCACCTCTCAGATCTGCCCTGGGGTACCCCTGTGTCTGCCACGTGACCGGAGCATGGCTTCTGGGAAGGCAGAAGCCGTGGAGCGTGGCTTACCGGGCTGTGACGCTAGCTCCGGTTATACACATTCTACTCCAGCTCCTGCATTTGTCCGAACCCACAGACCAGGACAAAGCCCTCTGCGAACTGTGGACTTAGTGATAACGTACCATCCCTGATGCGGTAGTGGTCATTACAGGCAGCCACAGCCACCCACAGGAGCTGGGAGAGGGTGGAAGGGGCGTGCACAGAGCTTCGTACAGGCTGGCAGGGGGCTGGGACCCACCTTCCAGCTCCTGTGCACTGGACCTTGTGTTGCCCTCCACCTTCCCCACGTCCGTGGCGCGCGTCCGCTGCCTCCCCGCTCAGGCGCGGTTTGTCTGTCCCCGTCCTGCTGCGGTAGGTAGAGATCTTCCGTCTCTTTCTGGATGTCCCCATGCTGTTAAGTCACAATGTAAAAAGTCAGATGCACTCCCGGTGCGTTCCACGGTTGTGACTGTGCAAGAACTGCTGCTGCTGAGCTAAGCAAAGCGCGCTGAGCCTTCCGCGCGCGGCGCCAATCCATAATGGCCTCATTTTTCTCAACTGTGTGGATTTCTTCAAATCACTGGTTCATTTCCCCCCTCCTCCAAGCGTGCCATCAACATGCTCTTCCAGATTGTCTCCAAAACACACAGATTCAAGTGTACCGACGGCCTGCACCCCCCCACCCCCCATTCTTCTCGGGCCTCCCCTTTGCCCTTCCCGTGTTGGGTGATCTCTCCATGTTTGGCTCTTCCTTGATGTTCTCCCTTATTTTGGTGGAGTATGTGTTGTAGCAGCAACACAAGAAGGACACGTGGGAGAAGTCTCTGTGGCCCAATTACTGGATTGTTAAGTTGCTATAGAACGTAGCTTGGAAGTCATTTTCATTAAGGGTGTGTGTGTGTGTGTGGCGCGCGTGCGCATGCACATGTGCATGTATGCACACCCATGTGCATGAGTCCTGGGGCTTGACCTCAGGGCCTGGGCACTGTCCCTGAGCTCTTTTGCTCAAGGCTAGTGCTTTACCACTTTGGGCCACAGCGCCACTTCCAGTTTTCTGGTAGTTGATTGGAGATAAGAGTCTCATGGACTTTCTTCTGTGGGTTGTCTCTGAAACTGTGATCCTCAGATCTCAGCCTTCTGAGAAGCTAGGATTACAGGCATGAGCCACCAGCACATGGTCACTCAAGTCTTTTCTGAGGACAGCTTACCAAAACAAGAAAGAAATCTGTGTGACCAAGAAATTTGGCTCTAGGAATTTGCCCTCAGGGTACAGTTGAACATTATGTGTAAATACTAGCCGTCAGTGAGGAGTGAGGTGGGGCGGCAGGTTTGAAGTCTGTGCTGTATGTGCTTAGCATGCATGCAGGCCTGGTTCAGTTCCAGCACCACACCCCTGCACATGCACACAGGCACGCACACCCGCACATACCTGCACACATACACATTTTGGCATGCGTGCACACACATGCACATAAGTGCACACACATGTACACACAGCACAGGCAGTGTCTTTCCTCTTCAGGCTTGTCATTGGTCAGTGTCCTGCCCACGTGGTCCCCAGCCACGATCGTGCTCTGCTACTCTGTCTCTGGATATATGGGGTCTCTGTCATTTGTCCTGAGAGTTGTTGGGGAGATCAGCTCTTGGCTGAAGCCCTTGGACCTGCTCTGCATGCTCAGTGCCATTTCCTTCTGGTCAGTGGCCCCTGTAGCTAGAGGGTCCTCCAGCAAGCAGGTGCTGGTCCTCTGGCCCCAGATCAGGTGGGAAGGCCAACCACAGGCCCCCAGCGTCAGCCCCCCCATGCCCCTCCCTCGGGGTACCCAAGGATCCAGCCCCATCCTCAAGTCCAAAGTTGCTTCCAGTGTTTGGACAGTGGCCGGCAGCGGCTTCTTTGCCTAGCAGGCTAGCCACCCCTAATCCAGCTTTGGGGTACAACATGACCAAAGTGGACAGCCAGTGTTCATCCCGTGGCTGGGCGGGACAGATCCCTGGTGCTTCCTGTGGGACTGGGCTGCTGCCAGGCCCCGCACCCCACCCGCTCCTCCTGCGCAGTAGGCCCTGCCCCCGCCTCCCCTGGGCAGGCTCCGCGTCTGGAGACGTCCGTCTCAGACACGGTGTCGCCTGTGTGTGCCGGGCCTTGTGCCCGGCTAGGCAGGCGCTCCCTGCTGAGCCGTACCACGGCAGCCACTCGCTGAGCCGCGGCTGAGGTCTCTCGGAAGGATGGCTCGGTCATTGTCCTGTGCACTCTGAACTTCCCGCCCATCTGTCCCCCGTCCTCCCCTCCCCCCACCCTCTGCCCCAGCCACATGGAACAGGGGGCAGGGCCATCTGCCGTCCCCAGGGGGCATGCATCTGTTCAGTAGGGAAGACGTCTGAGATGCCTGCAGCCTGGTGCCGGCCTGAGTGGGTGTGTGGTAGGGTGGCGTGGGCCCTGAGCTGTTGGGCTGTGGTTGGGGAAGGTCAGGATGTTGTGAGGGGTGTGGCTGCTTGGCCTGGCAGGATCGGACCGGATGGGGTCGTTTGAGTAAGGAGATGGGACTCGTCATGGGTTCCAGGATGGCCTGCACTCTGGCCTCGGCCCCTGCAGTGCCCAGACCGTCACAGCAGGCTCTGCAGCCGCGTCTTACGTGTGTCTCTGGGTGGTCTGAGCAGGCGCCTGGCGCTGCCATCTTACCACTTTCCGGGTAGTTCCATCGCCCAAGATGGGCACTTGGTCCCCAAGAAGCAATCTTACGTGTGGCCCCACGCAGCGGCGCCTCGCTCCTTCCTGGTGCGTGGACCTGGCCTTCCGGGCCGTCAAGGGGGTGCTGGAATTGTCCGGCCTCCTGTCCCCAGCGCGTCGGCAAGGCTGCCAGGCGCACGCCATGACGTCTTCTCCCCTGTCCTAGCTGACGTGCCACACGGTGGCGCGGCCATGGTTAGTCGACGCCTTTGTCTGTTGGTGGACGAGGCTTATTTCTGCCCTGGCTCTTGAGGACATGTGCTGAGAGGGTGCGGGGTGCCTGCCCGAGCCCCCGCCCCGCCTGCTGCTGCGCTGGCGCTTCATTCTCTGCTCGCTTGCCTCTTCCACGGGTCCCGGCTCGGTGGGTTATAGACTCTTCTTGGATGCACTCTTCGGGATGCCCCCGAAACAGCTAAGCCCCTCATCTAGTTGCCCCCCGCTGCCTCCTCATGCTCAGGTTGGGGGGAGCCCTCCCTGTGTCCCCCGGTACTTCCTCATGCTCAGGTTGGGGGGAGCCCTCCCCGTGTCCCCCGGTACTTCCTCATGCTCAGATTGGGGAGCCCTCCCCGTGTCCCCCGGTACTTCCTCATGCTCAGGTTGGGGGGAGCCCTCCCCGTGTCCCCCGGTACTTCCTCATGCTCAGGTTGGGGGGAGCCCTCCCCGTGTCCCCCGACTCCTCTTCATGCTCAGGTTGGGGGGAGCTCTCCCTGGACTCGGATGCATCCTGCTTCCCCCTCCCACCCTCTCCTGATCTCCTAAGTCGGAAAGAAGCAGCAGGAAGGAGGCAGGTCACGGCACCGTCTTTGGAAATGGCCGCCAGTGACGATGACTGATGCACTGTACCCCCAGCCGCGTCACTTAAAAGGGAGCCCAGGCCGGAGGGCTGTCCACCCTGCACCCTGTGTTCCTGCCCTGGGAGCCCCCTACCCCCCCGCCTCGTGCCCCTGTACCCCTACCCCCCCAGCCACCCTGGGAGCTCACTTCTCTCCCCTTTGCCTCCCCAGGGACATACCAGGGCCAGTGGGCCGGTGGCATGCGGCAGGGCTATGGGGTGCGTCAGAGCGTCCCCTATGGCATGGCGGCGGTCATCCGCTCGCCCCTGAGGACGTCCATCAACTCCCTGCGCAGTGAGCACACCAACGGCGCGGCGCTGCACCCCGACGCCTCCCCCGCCGTGGCCGGCAGCCCCGCCGTGTCGCGGGGCGGCTTCGTGCTGGTGGCGCACAGCGACTCGGAGATCCTGAAGAGCAAGAAGAAGGGGCTGTTCCGGCGCTCGCTGCTGAGCGGGCTGAAGCTGCGCAAGTCGGAGTCCAAGAGCAGCCTGGCCAGCCAGCGCAGCAAGCAGAGCTCCTTCCGCAGCGAGGCCGGCATGAGCACCGTCAGCTCCACCGCCAGCGACATCCACTCCACCATCAGCCTGGGCGAGGCGGAGGCGGAGCTGGCCGCCATCGAGGACGACATCGACGCCACCACCACCGAGACCTACGTGGGCGAGTGGAAGAACGACAAGCGGGCGGGCTTCGGCGTGAGCCAGCGCTCCGACGGGCTCAAGTACGAGGGCGAGTGGGCCAGCAACCGGCGGCACGGCTACGGCTGCATGACCTTCCCCGACGGCACCAAGGAGGAGGGCAAGTACAAGCAGAACGTGCTGGTGAGCGGCAAGCGCAAGAACCTCATCCCACTGCGGGCCAGCAAGATCCGGGAGAAGGTGGACCGGGCCGTGGAGGCCGCCGGCCGGGCCGCCACCATTGCCAGGCAGAAGGCCGAGATCGCCGCTTCCAGGTAGGGGGGCGTGGTGCGCTGCACGGGGCGGGGAGAGGGTGTGGGGGAAGGGGGTCAGAGACCACACTCTGGTCAGTGGGAGTATTACCCAAACTGAGCCCCATGGAAGCTTGGGGCTCCTCGGAGGTCTCCCGAGGTGGCCATGGAAGATGTGGGACGTGGAAATGGCCGATCTGAGGTCTGGGGACTGCTGTTTCTTCCTCAAACATGACAGCACCTCTTTTCTTCTGTTCCGCGACAGCCGGTGTGCTGAACGGAAGCTGTCAAGGGCTGGCGCAGGGGCCGCCCTGGGCTGGTGGGTGGTGTGGAGCAGCCTCGGCGGCAGGGCTGTGGGACGTCGAGCCTGAGGCTCAGCGGGCCTCTCCATCCTAAGGGATGTGTCCGGAGGAGGCTGTGGGTGTCTGTGGGCTTCCGTTGTCTCAGGAGCCTCAGGGCTGAGAGGTGCCTGGTCTGGCTCCTGAGAAGCTGCAGAGGCTCCAGGAGACTGAGAGCTGGGAAGCTGAGCCACCCAGCCACCTTCCCCGGGGGGAAGGAAGCAGCCCCGTAGGCCGCCAGGGCGCTGCAAGTGAGTAGACCTGGGCTCTCACAATCTAGCTACTGAGGGGCTTGTCCAGACCTCAGGGGCGCTCGGAGCCTCTGCTGTCCCCGGCAGGGAGCCGTGGGGCCCGGGACAATGTTCCTGTGTCTGTGTGGAAGGTGTTGGGTTTGCAGGCAGTGGGGCTGGGCCCCCAGGAAAGCCCAGCTCGGTGGTGCTCAGCCCTCCAGCCTGGTCTCCAGCCAAGGGTGAGGCCCTGTGGTTGGTGACATGACAATGAAGGCGGTGGCTATGGTTCAGCAATGGACACCTGTCCCTTGTAATAGCTGACATTTACAGAGAAATGAGACAGCTCAGGCCGGGAAGGTGGCTCAGCGATAGAGCGCTTGCCTAGCATGCATGAAGGTTTGGGTTCGATTCCTCAGCGCCACAGAAACAGAAAAATCTAGAAGTGGTGCCGTGGCTCAAGGGGTAGCGCACTGGCCTTGAGCACAGAAAGGCTCAGGGACAGTGCTCAGGCCCTGAGTTCAAACCCCAGGACTGGCCCCAAAAAGCAATGAGACGGCTGTAAGGAGCAGAATTCCTGCCCCCGCGGGAGGCCTGGAGGCTTCTCAGTCAGCTGGTGTGGGGCTGGCGCGGCCAGTGCCGTGAGCCGCTCCCTGGGGCAGGCTGGTCTCTCTGAACCCTGGTTTCCTCATCGGTGATAGTGAGCGGGAGATGGCACCTGCCAAGCTCGTGTGGAGGGTCCGGCCCTGTCCTGTGGCCCTGAGGTTGGAGCAGCACAGGGCTGGACCAGGGTTGGCACTGGTGACCTGGGAGGAGACTGGGGCCGGGCCAGAAGCACAGAAGGACAGGAGGGGGGAAGTCTGGCTAGGTGGCCTCCCTGCAGGATCAGCCCTTCGGGCCCTGACTGGGGGCCACCCCAGGGTGGAGCCGGCCCCTCTGGGCGCACATCCGTGTCCACAGATGGGTGTGTGCACAGGCGGAGAGGGCGTGGAGGGGCAGGTGCTCCACAGGCCCCCAGGCGCCTCCCAGCTTGTTGACCGCCTGCGCCCATCAGGTCTGGCTTCCCTGACTGGAGCTTGGCGTGGACGGGTCACAGTGGGTTGTGGTGTGACTGGGCCCCGTGTCCGCGGTCACAGGGGAGCTGAGGGAGCCTCTGTGGGGAGGAGCCACTGGCAGGAGTCCTCCTCCCTCACGCAGAGGTGGGCTTGCGGTGCGTGTCCGGGCTGGGCAGCCTCTGCCCCTCGTGAGTGGCTTCAGCGCCGGTGGGGTGGCCGCGGTGCTCCCGGGTGAGGGAGGAGGAGCCGCCGGCAGTGAACAGCAGCGCCTCTGGCTTCAGGTCCGAGCCGCCCAGCGGCTGTGCTGTGTGGCGGCTGCCGAGTGCCTGGCCTGGCAGCTGCGGTGGCCCCACGGCTGGGAGGTGGCGCAGACACGGAGCCCGGTCCTGCCGGCTCCCGCCCGCCAGGCAGGGCCGAGTGGAGCGGCAGACGGCGCTGTGTCCCGAGTGGGCCGGGCCGTCTCAGCAGCTTCTGTAGCAGTGGTCGCGGCCGGGACAGGACCTGTGGATTCCGAGGGCCGGGCCGCCCTTCTCCCACCGAGCGGGAGCCTGGCCTGCGCTCACAGTGGGGCAGGCGGTGGTCTCGGGGCAGGGCCAGCCCAGGTCTCCACTCCCTGTGCCGGGTCACCGGGGTGTCGGGGTGCTTGCTGTCTGTCCCACACACTGGTGTGGTGCCGGCTTTCCTAGAAGCCTTGAGGCTCCCTGGGCCGGGCCTGGGCTGGGCCTGGCCCATAGGGCTGGTCCCAGCGGGTCAGCGCGTGAGCGGCGGCCACACGGTGGCGGCGGCTGCCTCGGCCTCTCCTGCTTCCTCCCCTCTCCACCCCTCTCCTCCTCCCCTCTCCTTGCTCTCTCCCTGTTTCTGTCTCTTCGCCCCCTGCCTTCTCCACCTGCAGTTTCTGGCATTTCCCCCAGGGCTGGCCATGGCAAGTTCAGAAGGTTCCATTGGCCCCCAGCTGGCACCGCGTGTGGCGCTCTGAGGGCGCCGGCCTGGCAGGACACACTGCGAGGGGGGGAGGGGTGCAGCTGTGTTCCCTGCTGCGATCGAGTCTGGGCTGCCATGGTGGCCCGGTGCCCACCGCAGCCTCTGCTCCCCGTCTTAGCCCTATCCCTTAGTGATTTTCCCAGCAGGGCTGCCTGGCGGAGCAATTACTTGAAGTGGCTGAGCGGTTACCGGCGGGGTGCCACGCTGGCTGTGACCTCAGCTACGGCTCATCTGTGCCCAGCTGGGGTGCCCATTGCAGACCCAGACACCCCGCCCTGCTGTCTGCCGCCTGCCGCCTTCTAGACCAACCCCTGGAGCGGTGGGGGGGGGGGCATGGGATCGGCTTTCTGCCATCTCTGATTGATTGGTAGTGGCTGCCCAGAGCATTGAGTTGAGAAGGATTCTGAGGCCAAATCCTGCTGGGGCTGTGGACCTTGATTGATTAGTAATGTCTGTCATGGGTATATAAAGCCGTGTTCCAAGAGCGGCTGTGCTTTGTGCATGCCTGGGCTGTGTCAACAGTCCCTTGCGCACAGCCTCCCGTGCCCACCCTCTGTGCCGATCTGAAGCTCTGCAGAGTAGGCTCTCACCTCCTTTGGCTCCAGGTGCCGAGAGATTTTTTTCAAGTTTAAAAAATTGTGGATCAGGTATGTTGATGTATACTGATAATCCCAGCTACTTGGGAGGCAGAGATTGGAGGATCACAGCTAGAGGCTAGCTCTGGTAAACAAAAGCAAAAGGGTTAGGACATGACTCAAGTTGTAGAGCACCTGTAGGGCCTTGGAGGGCTTTGTGTTTTGGCTCCAGACTCTGTTGGATGTAGTTTTCAGGTCCTCTATACCACGCTGAGCCCCGGGGCATTACAGACCAGCAGCACCTCCTCAGGCCTCCATTTTGGGAAGGGGAGAGGAGGCCTCCTGGGCCCCGCTGGGCCCCAAGCTCGCTCAGCAGCCTAGCTGGCTGCTGTGCGCACTGGGATCTGGTCCCTGGGATCTGCGGACGTGTTACAAACACCTCGTTAACCTGGGGGGGTGGGCGGGCGTGGCTTCGGAGAACGCAGTTAGCAGTGAGGAGTGGCTCTGGCTGCTCCCGCCAGGGCCAGGCCGAGGCTCTGTGCACCGCCGCCCAGGGCCTGGAAGCAGCTAGCTTCCCGGGGCTCCCTTCACTCCTGCAGGAAGCGTCTGCAGGCGGGGAGGTCGGGTGCCCACCTCCGGGGTGCGGTGGGCAGAGCAGGCTGAAGGCGGGCCGGGAGACGCAGAGGCATCCGGTGTCCCTGCCCCACGCGCTCTTGGCTGTTCGGGGAGTCACTATGTGCTGGGGATGTGTGCTCACATCACAGCATGGAAGATTCTAGGCTGTGTCTGACTCTGTCTCTGTCTGTCCACTTGTGTGTGGTTGGGCCAGTGAGTCCTTTCTGCGCAGGAGCTACCGGTCAGCTTGAGGCTTCAGTGTGATGGAGCGCCGTGCGCCAAGGCTGCAGCGTGGGGTGTCCGTGGCGGTGGGGGGGGGACCCGGCACGCAGGAGGCTCTGCTCTGCACACAGCACTCGCAGCAGGTGTGTGCGTGCGGTGGGTGATGCCAGCCTGTCCGGAGCCCTCGGGCGCAGCGCGACTGCCCAGCCTGGCCTCGGCTCGTGGTGGCACCAGCATCCCCGCGGAACCGGCGGCAGTGGTTCTGGAGCGCAGTCCTCACCAGTCTGTCCCTGCCCAGCCTCCTGCTGCTCCCTCTCCTCCTGAGCGGCCCATCTGCTTGCTGCTCAGCAGACCTGCCCTCCGAAGCACCCACTGCACGCAGGCCACTGCGGACGGGCCTCTCAGGACCCTGGAGGGGGCGTGATGGTAGAAATCCGTGAGCTCCCCCCCCCCGTGTGCGTGGGGGTTCCCCGGGCCAGGCTTGGGCTGGCGCGTGGGTGCACCAGTGCTCTCCCGCGGGAGCGAGGACATGGTGTGGGCCAGGGCCACGGGGGCTCTGGCAGGCGAAGGGGTCGGGTCCGGGCGGCCAGGAGGCAGTGTGGCCCACCACCACGTGAGGCTGGTGGAGCATGGTTAAGGACCACGAGCCTTCGTCCCACGTGCCCGGTGTGGGCTCACCAGTGCTGTGGGTGGAGGTCGCTGGGGCCTGAGTCTCCTTGCCTGTGAGGACAGTGGCGGGCACCCAAGGCCTTGGCGCGTGGCGCGCCCCTGCAGCGGCCCCCCCAGCCTCCCTGGAATCGCACATCACGTCCATGGAGGCTCTGCCCCCAGCACCTGGTGGTCAGACTGGACGTGGAGCCTCACTGGCCACGTTGTAGCAGGTGGGGGGGAAGTTCTGGGTCCTCTCAGCAGCTCCATCCGGCCGTCCTGGCGTGGAGGCTGGCGTCGCTGGCCTGTCCACCATGACCGCACACAGCCCTGGGGCAGGGCCGGGGCAGCCGTGGCCTCAGA